AGGGTTTTAATATAGTACCTGATTTTTTGAATAAATAAATTGTAGACCTGATTTTTTAAAATCAATCTTTAAACAACTGATTTTTTGTAATTTTCCTTTAATTAATGGCTTGGCCCCAATCAGCAAAAAATAGGGCAACATTTAGAATAATTTCCAACTAGCAAACCCTAATTCATTTATTTTTATGCTATAAAGCCCAACGATAAACATTTAGACCGTGTTTGGTAGAATTTTTAAAAATTTCGAACTTATTTTGAATTACACATTCGACCAATAAAATAATTTTATACGTGAACTTTTTTGCTTTTTATATTTTTTTAAACATTTTTTTAAAAAAAAAAAATATGGGTGAAAGACGTAGAAAAATTGTGGAACCTATAAAATCTATTGTTAATATTAATTGTTGACTTTTACTTAAAATTAAAATCAAATTTTAATCAGAAACAAACAAGGGCTAAACAAAACGAGCCAAGATATTAATAGAAATACATATTCAACGGGGCTGCTATTGATGCTGACAAAACAATCACCTACACCCAAATCACGCACTGACTAAAACACGTTTTGAAACCAAAATCTAGCCCTCTATCTAGAATAGATAGCATTTCCAATCAACGTGTGGACCAATGTTACTCTTTCGTGCTCATTGTCGTCCTCTCACGCGAGTTTGTGTCGTGTTTTCAAGCATACTTTATATCTACACATTTTATAAAATTTACAATTTATTATTCACTAATTATTCATGCATTCTTAATAAGCCACAATTTGTAAGTATTTAAAAGTAGTGTTGAACAAGCACTTAATCTTAATTTAGCTGATCATCCTCTCCAACCAGCTAATTGAGTGAAAGATAAGACAAACAGAAAGTGAGTGAGAAGGAGAGTGCCAAATAAAGGAGGGAAGGAGGAGAATCTTACATACACACAAACAGGGAACAAATGCTGTATGCTGTGGACCATCATTTTCACTTTAAATTCATCCCCCACAACCTCAAAAACTCTGTATCTCTCTCTAATACACAGATGCTGTCTAATGTAATAGCATCTTAATCTGGGTTCTTAACATCAAACTCAAGTTAACACAAGTACCAGGAGGATTCCACCAAAGTTTCATTCCATCACTCTCTCTCTATCTCTCTCTCTCTCTCTCTCACACACACATGTTTTAGGGTTTGAGTGGCATCATGGATGGTAAGAATGCAAAGGTGAGGCAATAATGGGACAGTGGACCTTTGTGCAGGCTGTGGAAGAAAACCCAAATGAGCTTGTCGGTTGTTTTGTAGTGTAAGTCTATCATCACTGCACTATATATCATTGTCACTAGTCTGCACACAGTAACAAAAACAACCCATTTGGTTTATGCCTTTAAACTGATGGCTGTTAGGAGACACAAACTCCTCCTTAATTTCTTTCACAATTTTTCATTGTCTTAGAAGCTTCCGTACAACCTAATTTTCTCTCGTTTGATCACACTAGAAGACTATTTTCCTCTAGTTTGCAGCCAATGGTCTAGTCTTGTGTTTAATTTTAGTTTTCAAGATTGTAAGATTATTGTTTTACCTTCAAGATTTCTTGAATTTAAGCCATTTTGGTCAGTTTTTATAGAGCTCAGAGAAATGGGTTGGTGGATTAGGCACCCAAAAAATGTTCAAATAGAAAGAAATGGAAGACCATCTCTAAGATTATTAGGTGGAGTAACAGAATTTGTTGATAATGGTTCCTAGACAGAAGTGATTTTGAAGAGAATTGGTTGTTTTGAGTAAATATAGTTTCTTATGGAACGTAGTGGTCTAGAAAGTGCTATAGGGATGCCAAATTCTGAGAGTTATAATCCACCCCAGCCCAACCAAGAATCACCAGTCAAGCTGCCTCTTGCCCCTATAATTTCCACTCCACCAGATAGAAGAGGAAATGCAACGGTTTCAACCTTCCGCGGAAGTGCTTTTTTTAGTACAACACATACACTAAATCAGCATCAGCTCAATTCATCACTGCCACAACCGCACCCACAGCCGTCTCTTGTACATAAAGATTCGATCCCAGATCCAGATCCAGCCATAGAGGCCTGTGGAACAACGGGTGGTGCTTTAAATTCGAGGGTAGATCCACCCCCACAGCCACATGATCCACCAGCAGCATCTTCCAAGCCTACTGATACTATTAGATATAAAGAATGCCTAAAGAATCATGCTGCAAGTGTAGGAGGTCATGTTCTAGATGGATGTGGAGAATTCATGCCTAGTGGAGAAGAGGGCACCCCAGAAGCCTTAAGCTGTGCTGCTTGTGATTGCCACCGGAGTTTCCATCGAAGGGAGGCTGATGGAGAGCCGGAAACTGGCACGTCTCACTACTACACATACAATCCCAACTCCAGCAATAACAATATCCATCGGAACCCGTTATTTCACAACCAACCGCAGCCTACCATTCTTCCTCTGCAGAATCAGCATTTTACCGCCGCCCCTCCAAGTGGCCGTACGCCGCCTACAGTGGTGGCGTTCGGCAGAAACAGCGGTGGGGCCGGAGCTGGGGCGGAGTCAGCTAGTGAAGATCTCAACATGTTTCGGTCCAACGCTAGAGGACATGAAGTTGTGCAGCCATCATCTTCGGGGTCCAAGAAGAGATTTCGGACGAAATTTAGTCAAAAACAGAAAGAGAGGATGCATGAATTTGCTACAAGGCTGGGATGGAAAATTCAGAAACAAGATGAACAAGAATTGCAGCAGTTCTGCAATGAAATGGGAGTGAAGAGGCAGGTTTTCAAGGTGTGGATGCACAACAATAAACAAGCCATGAAGAAGAGAGAACAACTGTGAGGCAAGAAACAAACCCCATTTGAATTTTTGAGATTAGGGTATAGATTATTAACCTTTTCAGATAGATAAACATCAGTTATGCAGATTTTAAAAAATTATTATAGAAGGCTAATCACCTTGGTCATTTCAATTTTCCTCTCCTGCAAATCATGATCTAATTAATTACTTGATATGTAATGGTCCCAATTCTTCACTAGTAAAAATAGAACTTTTATACATTGAGAAAGAAGTGCACTAAAATGAAGAAAGAAAATATTCGTACAATTTACATATTTCAAGTCTGTCTACTTAGGTTATTTTTGGAACATGGTATAGACCAATTTAAAGAAAAACATACACTAAAGTTCATAGAATAGATGTAATTAATCCTATATTCTTGAAGTTCAATTTTGTACTCTCTTTCCTTCTTAAGTTACATGTAATTTTTCTCTAAACAAGCCTTTAAAATTTTCACCCCATTTTATATGATTGCAAGATTATTTCCTAATACTAAACAAAATAAATTTAAACTGTTTTATTCAATTTTCCAATTCAGATTATGTTGTTCGCTTCAAATAATGTTATTGAATAGTAGAATTAATTCCAATCAGAAGTCAGTTCAGCATTAATTAATGTTCATACACATTAAGATTCACTTCAGGAAAATATCTGGTTAAGAGGATTATATGACTGTGATGCAGTTCCACAATTACTTGAATCTTGATGCATATTTGTCGTTTAGTGCACGTTTGGTGCGCAGTATTAAAAGAGATTAGACATAGTATAATAAATATGAATTTACTATCTTTTTCTCCCGTGATGTGTGTAATGCTATCGAATCTCTCCAATCAACATGATTTGTCTAATGCTTTCGAATCTATCAAAGGTGCTATACGTGTTCAGTTTTTACTAGCATCTCAATAAAGATAAGTTTGGAGGACAATGTAAAGTTAAAAAGGATAAGTATGTCAGAAAATGAATGGCCTGTATCCTACTTTGCAGTGCTGTATGGTGCCTTTCCATTCATTTTCCGAAGCCTGCCCCCTCCCCCTCCCCCCAACCCAAGGCAGTCTGCAAAGAGAGAGACTTTATTGCATCATGTACATGATTAAATGTTCGATACAAAAACATTAGGTTAGTGCATCGAACATGATTTAAAACTTTCGTATTCGATAATATAAACTTCTTTTTTTTATTTTTAACTATTTTCCAGATTTCCTTCAAAACATGTTTTGTTTGAGTGAGAAAATTAAGCTTCCCTTATTCCTTGTTAGAGTGCTTTAGAGTTAGAAATTTAAGTGCTCTAGAGTGCGAGAAGACAAATGCCTAAATCAATAGACAGTTCACTTGACACGTTGAAACCCTAAATTTCAGTCACATATTGCCATTACTAGCCCTTAAAAACACTTTCTGAAGATTTAAGGTTTCCCTAATCTTACAAAATTCTGGCATAACATGTACTGCACCAAAATCTTGTCTTTCGGTATGCAGTATTGGAAACGATTGCATGTACAATAGACGAGATTTTAATGTATTTTTTCTCTTTTATCATGTACCTATTCATTTTCAAGTAGGGACCTACGAAGAGCAAAAGAGCTTGCACGCTAAAGATGAAGAGGAAGAAATCCAAACTAAAAACAAAAATTCCAGCAAAGGTCTAATTTCTTGTATACTGAGGCAACCAAATGGTGAAGGTCAATTTTCATTCTCAAGAATCCAAAAGGAAAGCAGAAAAATAAGCTGTAACATTCCCAAACGTCGTTATGTCATCTACTACCATGGAAGTGTATACATAACATTAAAACAGACAATGTCGAAACACTGAAAAAGACAATGGCAGAACACTCAAGAGGAAAGAATTTTCAGTAATAAGAATTTATATTGATAATACAGTTGTTTACAGTTTCCTCTTCCCCTGAATGATGGCACCAAGAAATTAATAAATTCTACCTAGTCCAGAGTGTAATACTGGCCCGCACTAAGTATTTAGACAACATTTTTTCTACTGCACTGACTGTTTGCCTTAAGACATCGACGTAGTCAATCCTACAACATGCACATAGCAAATAACTAGCAGGCTGGAATAACCGTACAAGGTGAAACTCCTATTGACATCCAAGATGGATGTCCTTCGGAAACTTTAGCCACGACGAGATAAAACCTATTGAAAAAAAAAAGACAGTGAAGGGTGTTCCGTAGTACCTGCTAGTAATTACTCATAATTCTGCTGTTGGTTCTCATATTTGCTCCTATATTGCTTGCAGCTTTTGAAACTGTCTCCTTAGCTGCTTCTCCTCGGCTGGATCAGTCATGGTATCAACAGTCGGCCCACGAGTATCCCGAACCTTCGATTTCGCGTCCTCATAGGTCTCAAAACCTTTATCTTTTCAATGTGACATTGCATTTTCTGTCATCTCTTTGACATCATCAGCCTTATCTGAAACCATTCTTATGGTTTGATAGGCAAACCCATAAGAATCGGACGCTTTATCTTTCACAGCGTCTCCAGCGTCCTTGGCCTTACCGTAAGCCCCGTCCATGGCTTGATTTGTTTTATCAGAGGCCACCGTATAAGGATTGTATGCATTATCTTTAGCCTTCTCCTTAGCGTCACCGACCATATCAGAAGCCACGTTCATTGGGGAGAATTTCCAAAATAGCCAGGTAAAATGACCCATTTGGTTTTTTATGTAAAAGTCAATTTTGTCCTTAATGAAATGATTTTTTTATTGCAAACTAAGTTCTCAAATTTTATAATTTTTTAGAAACTAGTTTTATT